GGATGGAGTAACTTGAGAATACAGAATCTCTAAGTGCTGGAGACACAAAGGGAGTCTGCATGAATCCATGGGCTCTTCTCTTTAGATAATCCATTGGGTTTTACCAAAAACATGGGGAAAGACAGGATATAACACAAGTTTCTTTAGTATGCAGTGTTGGATGAGGAATGTACCACTGCTACCCCACCTACTATCTCTTCCACTAAAGAACAAATCTTTAAGTTGATAATAAAACAGAGGGCACCAAATACTTTAACTAAAAGCACATGTGAAGACCCATATTGGAAGAGAGAGAAGACCCTCTATCTTTTGGGTCCAGACCACTGGGAATCCATTGCTATTGTCCTGGTTGTTGAACTGGGATCAATTACACAAATTCTCATTCCATTATATCCTCTCCTTGTATCTGAAAAGAACCCAGAAATATTAAGTCTCTGAAAAATGTCTTTTTCTAACATTAAGCAACTGAGAAAACATAGAGGGATACTGTGCCTCTTAATCTGATCTCTATTATAATAAGTGATTTACTGGTATAACAGTCTAAGTAATATTTACTGTGATCAATCCCTTTGAATTTAGAGAAAATTACAAACAGGACCAATTACAAGTCTGAAACTTAGAAAGAGAGCTGATAGCTGTACCTTTCAATTATAGCCATGCTTCTCTTTTACATTTGCAATACTACTTCTACTTAATATTTGACATTGTTTTGTAATAATTTAATTATCTCAAATAACTTTCTCTTGAGAAAGCAACTTCCTACTTACCATCATTAAGGCCACTAGCTATATATGAGTATACTACATTCACAGCTAATTCACTATGTTTTGGTGTTCAAACAAGATGAAATTTTTAATGTCATTATGAATCAGAATATTATCACAAGAAATAATTTTGACTGATTATTTTAAATTAAGGATTTGGAAGTTTTAGGGATAAAAATGTACCAAAAATGGATTCATAGGACTAGTAATAGTAAATTGCTTCTTTCATTGTTCATCATTGCTTTCATATTTCTTTTCTTTGCTTATAAATATTAGATTATATAATATAATACTCTCTTACAAGTGTTATTAATGCTTTGGACCTTTATTATTTACTTATATCCAATTTACAAAATCCAAGCTTTGGTTCAGCCCACTACTCTCCTCTCAAAAAACTACATATAAGCTAAGACTATCTTATAACTGTTAACTAATGTCCTTAATTTCATTACCATCTGGCTCACATTGGACTAATCACTTGCAAAACTTAATAGAGTTGTTTTCACATTTTACATAACTCAAGTCATGTCTGAATATAGTCTTCATTTCTGATGATAATATCTCAGTTATAGACAAGTCTAGATGGTTTACAGGCTCATCTCTTTCCTCTTTTGGCAGTTCAACTCAAATGTATTTCTTTGCATGTCAGACCATTCACACTCAAGCATTCAAGTTGCCTTAAAATATTTCTCATTGTTTAGAGAAAACAGAAGTGCAGCATTCCATCATAGGCTTACCTATGTGTATGTAATACAATGTGGCCCAGACTTGGTTGTTCACTTAGGTACTCCTTTCATAGGTTCACCTACCTGCTTTCTACACAAGCTCCTTTCAGCTAGAAGCTTTGCCACGTTGTGTATTAGAGTACTTTGTCCATTCTGTGTGGTGGAAAATTGAGAGGACTAGATATAATATGCATTTTAACATTTCTGCTTATATTATCTAATAACTATTATATTGAATCTGCTCCATTGAGCAGTGTATTCATGATGCCCTTAGATGACAACTTTTTTCTTGATGCCCTTAGATGACAACTTTTTTCTTGATAATTTTTTTTTAAAAATTTTTATTTGGAAATTTACTTTTCTTTTCTTCAACATATCTGAGACAGTAGATTTAGTCTAGTGCTTACAAGCATGTTTCTGGAGCCCACTTACCAGGGTGGAGCCCTAGTAATATTTTACACAAGCATTATACTGGAACTCTGGATTATAACTGAAGTCACTATTCTCTACATTAGGCCTTACATTTCTATTGGAGTGGAACCCCAACTCTGCCAGTAATCAGCTATGTGATCTTTAACAATTTGTTTTTATTGTCTGTTTCTCAGTTTCTCAGAAAGAAAACAGGAATGCCCTTTACTAAGGTTATTGTGAGGGTTCAGTTAACACACTTGTACCACTTAAAACATAGTCTCATGTATCATAAACTAATATCAGTGTTAAGTAAATGAATAAAGAATATCTATAACTATACCCATACTCACTTCGTTTCCTAGTATGACAATGAAAAATAAATCACCTTTTCGAATGTCAGATTCTCCCTTTGGCTTTGGATCATCTTGTTTGGTTAATAAGAGCTTCATTTTTATATTTATTTATTTTCTGCTCTCATATTTTTCTCATTCTTCTGGATCATTGCAACTACCATAAAAATTCTCTATTGTCTCTCAAGCTAATAAAATTGTGTTTCCTAAGTTCATTAATTCCTTCCACCTACCATCTTGATTATTTTCTCTTCTTTAAAACAAATTCATAAAGGCATTAATTGTGGTAGATTATATTTAAATATATATATATATATATATATATATACAATGATGCTTCTTATTCTACTTGAAGCTGCATTTTACTTGTCCCATCAAGAGATGGTATATTTCATCTTTCCTTGATCCCAGTGGAATTTTATTATGGATTTCATGAAGAGAATTGGAGAGAGATTTTGTACACCTTCTCAAAGTAGGTAATAATATATGATGCAGTTTACCTCACTCAGTCTTTTCTGGGATACTTACCACTATGGTTTGGCCATCACACATTAATTAAGCCCAAAATATACAGAGATAAAAAAAGAATAACATTCACAATCTGGTTGTGCTAAGGAAATGAGACAGGTTGCCAATAGACCGAAGAAAACGCCCAAGTATGGAATATGTAATAATGGGTTAATAGAGAAAAAATCCAGAGATGCTTACAGGCTGAATAGGTGTTTCACCCAAAAGTCCAGTGGTGATGAGCTGTAAAGATTCATCTCTGTTTCACAAATTCCCCCCAATACTTCACCAGAAATAGTGCACCCAATTCTCATGATGTCTAGGGGTGGCCTCCTGGACAAAAACTTCTCCATGGTGCTCTGATCTTCAGAAGTTACCTGAGGGTGGGGGGTTTTGAGGTTAAGTTACAGTAGAAATTAACCATGGTTGCATTGGTCCATTAAATGACTAGTATCCTAAGGAACTAGTCATGCATGCAAAAGAGCTCTTACTAATAATGCTAATTGACCCGAATTCCTAATGTGAGGGGGAGAAAAATATCCTTCAACATAATATGTATTCAGAGAACCCAGTTCACACAGTTCACACATTCACATTGCACTCTCATTGTTCCCTTTGCATAGGCAAGGCTTTTTTTTTTTTTTTTAACAGAAAGGTACATATTCAGTGACATAGTATTTTACTATCCTTATTTTCTTTAAGGGGGACACACCAAGTATATGAATTTTGATGAATAACCCCAATTGTCATCAATTTCCAGGCAGTTCATCCACCAGACAAGAGTTATCAAGCCTTTCAATAATCCACCTCCAAACCTTCAGTTTGGATCTTTCAGTTTGAGTTTCTACAGATCATACAGCAGTCAAGTTGGCCCTTGATCTGTTCAAATTCCTGACCCCCAAAAGCCTTAATGAAGAAATGCTTTATGCTACTGTACTGTAGGGCAACTTTTTATTCAGACATTGTACTGGAACTCTTGTTTAAAACAACTAAAGTTATAGCACTTTATTTTAGGACTCAATTTTTTATTGGGAAATATCAAATTAATGGATATAAGAAAATTATTAAATAGAAGTTAAAATAAATGATGAAGTCATCCATAAGTTCTGAAATCAACCCAACAGAATTTCTAGGAATATATAATGAAAAATTAAATGAAAAATTAAATAAATAAAATAAAAATTCCTTAAAAATAAGGAAAGACAGTTTAATTGGGATTAATGTTTATTCATTGTTATTTTCCCAAAATTATTGAATTTACATAACCAGACAATATATTAGTGATAATCTTTTGATTCCTACCTTTCTGTTTTAAAGTTATTTTAAGCTTGCTCAATAATCAGGGCACAGTAAATATAATTTAATTAAATTGAAAATTAAAATCAATATGTCAATGGCTAAAAACTTTATATGAAAGATTTCTTTATAAAATTTACTTTTGTTGAAGCATTCATTTAGTTATAAACATATTGATGTGAATTTAAAAGAGATGCAATAATGGTAAATATAATTCCCTGTGGATACATGAAATTTTCTGTATTTATTATTGATAATATAAAATTTTTGCTTTCAAAAAGTAGAATATTAACTATTTATAACTTATAAACATACTGCAATTTAAGTTTCAAACACTTATCAGCCACAGTTACAAAATAAATGATTTGTGTCTATATAATTTACTATATTATTTGAATAATCTTGCTTAATTTCATCAAGCATTGTTGATGGAATGCTGGAAATTATACATTTAATTTTGCTAGTGGCAGATACGTGTTTCTCTTAACTATATAATTAGTTGTATCTCCAGAATTCTAAATTTATTATATTTATAATGAAGTAAAAAAATGCAAATATCCTATTTTGAAATAAGGGTCATTTCAAGATTTTAATATCATGCTTATCTGTTATTATCAATAATAACACTGTTATTATCAATAACAGTTATTATCAATAACAATGTTATATATAAATTTGTCGTGTTTAGTGTCCCTAATTGTACACAACTACTTTTTTTCAGTGCCTTTTTGTTAGTAAATACAAAGCAAAAGTTTTTTGACCTCCTTAGAAACATATTTTATCCTTCCATCCCATCATGGTTTTTCTTCTCTCTCTTAAGATTTTATTTTACTTTGCATCTCTATTATTATTTTCTTGGACTTTCGTGTCTTTATTGTATGCTTATCACTGTGGCCTCTTTATTCTACCATCAAACACACAAAGAAACTCTCTTTCAACTCTTTATACATGAAGAACAGATCAATATGGTGGGGGTGAAGGGAACAAAGATGGTGGATGATCTTTTTTTAAAATTTAACCAAGTGTCTCATGTAGGTCTATAGAAGTTTCAAGCTGTTTTCCTTCATTCCCTAAGAAAATTTACCATCAAATACCATCATATGACTTTATCACGTCCTTTTCTTCAGTCAGACTTTCATGTTTCTTCTCTCCTCCTCATTGTGTTTGACTGAAAAATAAAAATAAAGAAGTTTCGAATTTTCACAATATGACATATAATAACTGTACATTATGCAGACTCTGTTTTGCTGCAAACTGTCCAATCTCTTTTAGAGGCCGATTTTTCTCATGACATACTGAATGGATATCCTGTTTCCTCCCACTCATGATTTTTAGTCTTACAATTATTATTTCTTTTCATCATTGACCCTTTCTCCTTGATTCTTTTCAAAGAAACATGAAAATATTTCTTCCATTAAAAGTATCTCATTTCCCCTTATATTTAATCCCAGTATTCAAATGACTTTTCAGACCTTGGATTAAAACTCCAGAAATATTTGGCTAAATTTACTCTCTCTACTTCCTCACCTTCTATTCACTCTTGAACACATCTCCACAAAGGAGCCACAAAACCACACCTCATCAAGATTTTCAATAATAACTATGTTTTCTCTCTGGTGAATTCTTAGCACTCAGTTAAAATGAGCAATGTCTTTAACAGCTTTTGATGAGTTGATAATATCTTTATTCTAGATACATTTCTTTCAGTTGATTTCTAGTACAGAAATATCTCCCCCTCTCTTATATATATTAACTGATAGGTGTTGACTTAAAGATAAATTCAAACAAAATAGTTTCCATTAATTTCAAACCATTGTTTGTATTTTATCTTGGACCTGTAAAGCTTAAAAAAAAAGGCTTCCTAAAATATGGTTTTAATTAATTTTCTGCAGAATTCTATTCAAGAACACAAAATTTAACTGTGCTCAAGTGTGACTATTTTCAGTTTGTTATTTGTTAAATTTCTCCAGGCATTTACTCTGACTTTTGTAGCAAAGAACAATGTGTCAAATAGTTTATTTTGTTGTTGGCACTGCTCTTGTTTTTACTTATTTAGTCTTTGAAAGATTATTGCATTTCACCAAAAGTCATAACAATGTATTATATTGACAAAAAAGAATTGACTGTCTTTTTCAACATGAAAAAAACTTTTTCTATAATTTAAACAACCATGGAGAGCTAGCATGATAAGCTCCCATTTATGTTACATTCTACTTCTGCTTGCATTGTCGTGCAAAGATATAAAGATGAACAATGTAATTTAATGATGTCAGCACTATGGTTTTCACATTACATGTCCCCCCAAAGCTCCTGTGTTAACTCAGGAGGTAAAACGATTACATTAAGATAGTACCAATCCAACCAGTTCATCCTAGTTTGAATGGACTAACTGGGAAGTAACTATAGGCATATGGGAATTGGCTGGAGGAAATGGATCACTGGAGACATGTCATGGAAAAGTTCATCTTCCCTGTAATCCCTTTAGAATCCCCTTGTCTGCTTCCTGGCCACCATTAATGAAGCATCCTTCCTTCAATATTTCCTATGCCATAATGTTTTGCCTTACTTTGGACCCAGAGCTACTGAGTTGACTGACTATAAACTAAATCTCTGAAACCTTGAGCTCAAAATAAACTTTTCTTTATCAAAGTTGTTCTTATTCAAAATTATGGTCACTGAAACACACAGCTAAGATAGAAATTGTTACCAAGAGGGGGGTCATTGGTGTGACTAACCTTATTATGAGGTTTAGAAACATTTGGAAATGGTTTGAGGAAAGAATTCTAAAAAGTTATGAGATGTAAGCAGGAGAATCCTTAAAGTTTTTATAAGCAGAGTCAATGGGTAATTCTTGTGGGAGCTCAGATGATGAGAATGTGAATAATAAACTGTGCTCATTAGGTTTCACAGGGAAGTAAGGATTATGTTGGGAGTTGGACTAGATGCCCTTCATGTTACATTTGGAAAAGACCTTGTCTGTATTTTGTACATGTCCTGAGGTTTTGTGTAAGTCTCAATTTAAAAACAATGTAGTAAATAACATACTAGAGAACATTTCAAGACAGCACAACATTTGGCCATTGGAATGGATTTTGCTGGCAGTGTGATTTACTGTGAAAACTGGGAGCAAAAAAATTTAGTGTGATTTACTGTGAAAACTGGGAGCAAAAAAGCAAAGCTGAACTTTTCTTTTTTATTTTAATTACATTTTGGCAAAAAGCCTGCATGTAAAACTGAGGCAAAGGAAGGTGTAGATGTTAAAGATATTATAGCCCCTAAAGAGATGTTTTAAGTTTGTTGTATAGAGACAATAGGAAAGAGGGCTTGCAGGTATCTCAAGAATTTTCAATACCACACCTATTGCAGGGACAAGAGTACATTAAAATATATATATATATATATATATTTGTAAAGAGATCCTGGGGTAACTTGCTTGCACAGCAGGACCTAGGAAGTTTTTTTTAACCACGCTCATCCATGCATGCTTCAGCAATTATTTTAGAGAATCCATATACTGCACAAGCTGGCAGTAGATCTTTGCATCTTCCATGTGGTCCTGGGTCTGTAGGAATGTGGGATGCTGTAGTTAAAGGAAATATGAAAAATTTCACACAGATTACAAAGGAAAGCCTGGAAGGCTAGTTAATATGCACATACCAGGTTCAGAATCTATGCAGACTTCCCCTGTGAGGTCAGTGCATGAAGGTATTAAGATGAAGCTGAAGATAAAATGGAGACCCCAGGAATTAAGTGATAATTGTTACATGGACTCTTTGCTAAGAAATGTTGCTGGTTGTGGAGAAAGCCAGGCTAAAAGGGAGTCCATGTGGTCTGCAATTGACAAGGCCAAAGGAGTTGGACATCCAAAGCCCTTTAGAAAGCACTTATCAGTGCCATGTGTTGTATATTCTGTTCATAGAGTGGTGTGACTTATTTTCCCGGCTGGGTTTCAATCTTGTCTTGGCTTCCTCTCTTTTTTTCTCTGTCCCTATACCTTCTCTTTGGAATGGATATGTTTATTCTGTGTCATTGAAATTTGGCTATATGTAACTTGCTTGAGCCACTGAGTTTCACATAAAACTTTGTAATTGGAGTTTTGGGCAATTCTGATACTTTTAAGACTATGAGGACTCTTGGAGAAGGATTAAATGCATATGAAATAATGAGCTGGACACAAACTTTTGGAATCTGGGGGCAGAGTGTCATGGTTTAGGTATGAGAGGTCCTGTTGGGGTGCAGCGAAGCGTCAGAGGGGAGAGACCACACAAGAGACTCACTTCATGCAATCGCAGGGGGGAAATTTATTAGGGATCCGTTCCAGCGCGCTGGGACCCTGTGCTCACTCAAGGAGGGAGAGCAGCCCAGAGCCCCGAGCAGAGGTTCAAGCAGAGCTTAAGTACACTTTTTGGGGAGGGTGGGAGGCTTTGCATACATCAGAACAAATCATCATGAGGCGTGGGAAAATTGAACAACAACTTTGAGACGTGATTGGCATATTCATTGGCGGGAACAGGTTGGGCGGGGGTGATTGGTCATTCCTAAGTGGGGTACACATTTAAACTGATTGTGACAAACTGCACAGGGCCCATGGCTAAATGGCTAGTAGGGTGTTGTCTTAACTGTCTCAGGAATCTGGGTGTAACAGAGGAACTCAATAATACCTAATCTTTTACATTTTAATTCAAGCCTTCCAGCTTAGAAACTTTACCCTTTCAGTCCCCCCAAAATTCCTGAGTTAAAATAGAAGGGGAAATGAATAGATTAGAAATTGTGAGAGTCCTCACCATGAATAGAGCAGTTCTTCTCCATCCTGTTCTTGTGTCATGATGCTCTCCCTCATTTTCTGTGCAGAGAAATGGGATTGGGTAAATATATCTCTGAAATTGTGAGCTTAAAATTAACTTTTTTTTTCTTCTATGTTTTTCTTGTCAGCTATTTTGGTCATCATGTTGAAAAACTGACTAACACAGTCTGGTATCAGGTCTTTTTTTGTTTGTTTGTTTTTCTTTTTTCAATTCCTACCATGGCAGATTCTGCCAAATAATCTGGTAGACTGACTGTCTGCTTTCTTTGTACATAATCCTCATTTTTCCTCAGTGAAAATAGGATAGTAAGTACACAATTAAAATTTTGTAAACTCTATTATTATTATTATTATGAATGTCAGTATTATTTGATTCATGAAATTACCTTGTGGATGTACTTGTGTCTATATAATTCAAACAGTACCTCTTGACAAAATAACAACTATGAGTAGGTCTTAAGAGTAAGAATACTTTATTAGGGAAATTTAAGCAGATTTTCTCATCAATCCACATAGTAAAGGTGTTTTAACAATAATATTATTATATTTTATTATTTTTTTCACATTAAACTTCATGTTAGGCTGACCCCATTAATATTTGTAGAAAATATAGACCACAAAAATCAGTTCCAGTAAGATTAATTTAAAAAAAAATCCTATATGAACCCTTGTTTCAACATTTGACTTTTTAAATAATAGATGTTCATTTTTTTAAATATTTACATATAAAATCCTTTTATATTTGCAGAAAAGTTGGAAGGATACTGCAAAAAAAATTTTTTGTATGCCCTTATCCAGGCATCTTTATTGTTTAGATACTATTTTAATGTTGTATATTTCTTATAATTAATGAACTAATATTGATTCATTATGATTATTTAAATTGCATGCTTTAATCATATTTCCTTTGTTCTAAGTCATGTCTTTTTGTTGCTGTTGTTGTTCTAACATCCAACCCAGGGAATCACATTATGCTTAGTTGTCTTGTCTTCTGAGGATCACCTGGGTTGTGACAATTTCAAAATCTTTGATGGTCTTTCAAGAGTACTGATGAGGTATTTTTCAGGATGCACCTTATTATATTTTTTCTAATTTTTTATCCTGAATAGACTATGCTTGTGGGTTTGTTGGAGGAACACCACAGAGGTAAAGTGCCATCTTTACCTCATATCAGAGGTATATATTATGTATAAATAATTATGCTATGAACATAATTTATCACTTTGATATTGATTTTCATCACGAAGCTTTAAGTATTATTTGTTAAGTTTCTCCTCTGTAAGATTACTTGATTTTCCCCTCTATTTTCCTATTGTACACTTTCAAAAGAAATAACAATATACTAGATATACTGCAGTCATAGGAACTTTTGAGCCCCGTTATTGAGGTTTGACTATCTAGAAAAAGTAGTAGAATACTTTGCTTTATAGATTTATTATGGCAAGAAGGATTATATCCAAAGAAAGAGGGGAAAACAGTGTATAAGACCTGAGGTAGAGTTGTGCTTTGAATGTCACAGAGTAATAAGGAGTTCAAGTTTGGCAAATCAGACCCAACAGAAGCTTAATAGAAAATGCAAGGAGAGAAGAAAAAGAAACCCCCAAAATTGTTAGAAATATGTCTTTTAGTCATATTAATTAATTGTTATTGTTTCTTTTATTTTAGGAATTTTGAAAAATTATCTTTTAATAATTTTCATTGCAGGTGGACACAAAATGTTTACTTTATTTATTTATTTTTATGTGGTGCTGAGGATAGAACCCAGTGCCTTACATGTGGTAGGTGAGCACTCTATCGCTGAGCCACAACCCTAGGCCCTGAAAAATCAAATTTTACGTAACCATAAAGAAAATCTTAACAAAGTGTTTCTAGATCACTATTTCTGATGGCAATATAAAAAAACTATAAAATTTTGAAAACATATTAAGAGCTTTTAACTGTGTAAACTAAGAAACATTTTATATCTAGCCACTAAAAAATAGAAAGAAAAATTACTATTTGATTTAAATTATCTGGAAAGTAATGTAAAGAAGAATTGCACATAAAAACACATATGATTCACAGCTCAAGCTAAATTCAGAAAATAAAAGCTTTAATGTTATATTTATTTACAAATAATATGGATTATGTTTTAATAAGTTATTTTTTAAAGTAAGAGTATTTGAAAACTCATGTGTTAAACATTTAATTTAGAGAAAAGTGAAAATGTCAAATTAAGTTTATAAATCAAGAATTGATAATAAAATTTTTACAATTTCTTTCCTAACACTAAAACATCCATAAATCTGGAACATATGAATAAAGAAAAAAGGTAAAACATTTTACCTAAATTTCTTAAGAAACTCAGATACAGAACATATTTAAAGACAAGAGTATCAATAATGTGTCAGTTTGAACACTTTAAAATCTAGGAAAATTAGATAATTTTCCATCAAAGTATAAAATGTCAAAATTGATCCTATACTGATTCTATTAGAAATATTATGTCTGCATAATAGAATAGCCTAAAGTCATGGAAAAATAAAGAAAGTACAAGACTTACACATAATTCAGATTTTTTGCTTCTGTAACTAAAAGACCTGAAAAGGACAATTGTAGGGGAGGAAAATTTTATTTGGGGACTCACAGTTTCAGAGGTCTCCATCCATAGACAGCAGGATTCATTCCTTGGGGCTTGAGGTAATAATGGACATCATGGTGGAAGAGTGTGGCACAGTGAAGCAGCTCACATTATGATCAGAGGCAGAGAGAGAGAGACTTTACTTGCCAGATTCAAAATATATACTCCAAAGCTATTTCCAACCTCTTCCAACCACACTCCACCTCCTTTCAGTCACCACTTAATTAATCCCATCTGGTGATTAATTCACTGATTTGGTTAAGGCTTTTGTAACCCCATCATTTCTTCTCTGTAAGGTCTTCCATTTCCCACAAATGAACTTTTGGGGTACACCTCATCTGCAAACCATAACATTCTGCCCGTGACCCCCAAAAGATCACATACATCTGACAATGTAAATGCATTTAGTCTATTCTCAACAGTCCCCATAGTTTCAAAAGTTCTTCGATTTCTCAATGTTCAAATCCAAAGTCTTCTCTGAGGCTCAAGACTATCTCACATTGTGAGTGCCTGTAAAATTAAAAGCAATTTACAAATATATAATGTATAAAGGTACAGAGTAAACATTTCCCTTCACAAAATTAGGGGCACACAAAGAAGGGATAGAATCAAAGCAAGTCTGAAATTCAGCTGGGCAAACCTGTCCTGTAGCTCCACATTCAGAAGCTTGAATGCATGCCATTGTGAATGGTCTCACCAAAGGGCTCCACCTGAAGGCCATGTTGGTTGTGACCCAAGTGGCCTTTCTGTTGGCTTGTCTCTGCTCAATTCCTGCAGCTTTCCTGGGACTGTGTCCCACATTACTTGCATTTCTTAATCTCAAGGCTCTCCACTGCAGCTTTAGATTCTTTAGGGAGCCATCTTGAGTTACCATGGCTTCCAGTCCTGATGGACCAAGGGGATCAGAAAGATCACTGTAGTCTGGTGTGGTAGTGCACCCCCCTCCCTCCCTCCCATCCCCGGGATAGCAAGGCCAATCTGCTGACTTGGCATACCCCTGGGGTTGAGCTACACTCGTAATCCTATCCCTTTGTCCTGTTTGGGATAGAATGTTCTATGGAAACTCCCTTTGTGTGTCCTGTTCTCTTGCTCTGCCTTTGGATGTGGCCTTCTTTCAGCAGATATCATAAAGCAACCCCCACCTCCCCACCCACAGTAACCTGACCCCTTGCCTCATTTGAATGGCTTCTTCCCAGTAAAAGGGTTCAGCATGTGCGCTCGCTCTCTCTCTCTCTCTCTCTGTCTCTCTCTCTCTCTCTGTCTCTCTCTCTCTCCGCGTTTTTCCATAGACTCCTAAGGTTGGAGGATCCATCACAGGACCCAAAGAGAAAGGTATCTCTGTCTCTGTGTGATTATTTTGCGCAAACCATTTTACCTGGAGTCACCTTGAGGGTTTTAGTCATGTAATGCTACAGGCTTCCTCCTCACCGCGTGCCCATAGGAATTCTGACCCTGATGCACTTTACCTGGCCTCCCAGGCCTTCCTTTGAAATCTTGGTGAAAACCTCCATGACTCTCCTAATTCCAGCATCCTGCATGCCTGCAGAACCAGCACTCTATGGTTGATTCCAAGGTCTGGTGCCATCTTGAGCATTAGCATAGCCTCTAGGGACCCTGGCTGCATCAGTCCTTTGGGGGCTGAGCACATTGCAAAAACTTCCTAGCCCCCCTTGTGTAAGAAGGGTGTCCCACTGGTTTCTCCTCAACAGAATATTCACTTTTTCTCCCTTGAGCCTGAGATCAGTGTGGTCTTGCTAGCTCCTGAGCTAGTGTGGTCTTGCTAGCTCCTCTTTCAAGTCCAAGTTTTTCAAATCTTTTTGCTCTGCTTTCTGCTCCTGTTTATCAAAATAAACTTGGTTAAAAATCGCCAGCAATATCATGCCACTTCCTGAATGGTAAGCTGCCTGGACATTTCTTACAACAGATTAAGAAGTCCATCACTTTTAAAATCAGCCTCAGTAAAAGTCTCAGGATTTGCACAAAACACAGACAACTTCTCAGCCAGAATATCACAGGAATAGCCTCTAGTCCAAATTCCAATAGAGTCCTCTTCTGAACTTTCTTGAGCCTTTTCTTCATTGTCCAAAGTCCTATTGGCATTCTAGTCTTTTAAGCTCCCACATGAATCGACCATTATGCTCTACTTACAAAAATTCAATTATTGCTAAAAATCTCAAAATTCTTCCCACCAATTCCAAAAATCTCCAGAAAATTGGTAACCATATGGTCAGGTTCGTCATAGAAATGACCCTATTTCTTGGTATCATTTTCAACTTATTTTCTAATTTTTAAGTTACTTCTATTTCCTCTCTTTTAAAATATAAATATTGACTAAAGAATATGCAAAATTTCTAGTATTTTCATTAGGATCATTGTAAGCATTGAAAAGGATCAAGAGTACAAAATAAGTTAAAACTAT